AAGTGGACTGCAGTTTCGACCTCGCATCGGTCTTATCAACACCCTCAGCGGGAGTCGAACTGCGACAGTGGAGAATGTGAGCTTGACATGTTAACCACTCGGCAACATTGTCACGAGTACCCTTGAGTCACAGGGCATAAGTAAATTTCAAGGAAGGTTAGGCCTCTTTGCTATATCATATTCTTTGGTGGGAGTGCCGATGAAGCAAACGTATATTTGCTATAGAAATCGACTACGTTACTTATATTCGTATGAGAGTAGGGTTTCGAGACTACCATTAAATCAGTGTTATAAGATGTATTCACCCTATTTCGTGTAAGGTGATGAAGGACTGGTAGTAGAAGTCTCGAAACCCTACTCTCATACGAATATAATCATGGAATGCCTCATTAAGATCGCAAAGTGAGGAATAAAAAGTAAATATGATCTCAGCTGGCCACTTCTCTTGGTTCAATGCTTTTTGGTGATTTTCTCGTGAATAATATTTTCTGGCTCTGACCATGTCCGTCACATGACGGACGAAAGCTCAGCACAGGGTGGTTGGGGTCGTAGGACGGTAAGCCGAGGGTTTCTTCACACAGTTCAATAGACAAAAGTCCAAGGCAACCTCCCTGCTATATCCGGTGAGGCGAATCTACAAATTCCTTCGACCCACCTCAAATAAAATGAACTGTACGCCAGTATCAATCAAAAAAGAATAGCTTTGTCACACAATTAGATTTTAGAGACTATTTAAAGATTCGATAAAGGGGCTATAATCACCCTATAAAGGAATGCTAGTTGTACATTTCCAAAGTGATCTAAAGCCTCATTTTTCAATCGAATGTCGCATTGATTTGCCAGGACCTCATTTTTGATCATGCCTTTGTCTAGTCCTCACCCCTAGCAGGATTCTATCTCGAGTAATGTACCATTTGGTCTCAACATATTAGCCACTACGCCATGCTGCCACAAGTGCTCTTTGATCATTTGGCATAAGTGCATTTCTAGAAAGCCTGTGCCTTTCCTTTATTATATTTCTGTGGTGAGTAAATGGATAAAGTGTCGAGGCCATACGCTGCACTACCCAATGTTTAGGGTCTGCTGTCGTTGCTAATGAAACCTTGACGACATCAAAATTGCAGTCCGCTTTAGATGAAACTACCTTTTGAGAAACTATAGTAAATTCAATGGAAACATGAGGTTGCCAGTTAATTGTAGAAAGATTCAACTACCATTCCTTCATCCCCTTAAACGAGAGAGTGTAAAGGCAGATCTTATATCAGATCAGCCGATAGTCTCGAAAACCTACTTATAAACTGAAAATAATACACAGTGCTTTTGAATGCGGTGTTATTAAGAAATTTAATTTCCAGACTCTTGTCAAGTGACCAAATGAATAAAGATGTACACTTAATTAGTTGTTTGAATACAATAGATAACTTATCTATTAAGTTATGTATAACTTACACAAATAGTATATCCTCTAGCCAATTCTTAGCCACTAAACTCCTGAAGATTGCTTCCTCACATATAATATGACAAACTTACATGACAAAATAATAACATTTTTCTTCGTCTCGCTCTCTACACTCAACCACTCCCTTCATCCGGCATAGACCAACAAGCTCTTCAACTCGCCTCCGATCCTGTCGCCCCTGCTGGAAGAGTGGCAAAACAAAACTTGGCCAGATCAAGAGTTGAGCTGGAGCATACAAACTCAGATACTGGTGGCTTGCTTCAAAGCAGATTACTTGGCGCTCACTCTGTGAACAGAAGAAGTCGCCGGCCTGCGGCAGCCACTGCCTTCATGGCTGGTCTGTCAAATACTTCAACAGACCGAGGTCGTCAGAACACAAGAAGACAGAGCATGTCCCGAGCCGAGACAAGTGCATCCTATCGATCCCGCTACAGTGCGGACTTCAACAGCAGCATCGCTTCAGAAGGTAACACACCCACGATAACCAATAATCAACAAAAACGAAATAACAGAATCGGTATGAAGGGCCAATTGCATGCGGAATCTAGGCCATCAGCAAATCTTCCAAGCACCTCCTCAGATTCGGCACCATTTGTTCCATTTCATTTGTTGCCCCTCAACCTTCGCCCTGGAGCCGAGCTGAAAGACAATAGAGTGGGGTATGAAGAGGGGAGAAGGAAACCCGGTCCTACGGGCCAAGGTTTAGGTATGGTGAAGAAGCAAAAAGGGAAAGAACGAGGATCAGGAGTGCAGGGAAGTAGTCTTGCTTCAGAGAGAACCTCAGAACTCCTTGGCAAGAATAGTCCTACTAAGGATGAGATAGATACAGTAGTGACTGTATAGCGCCTTTCTAAAGCGCCCTATCCTAACTTTGTTACAGATAGAATAGTCCAAATTTGAGGGACTCCCTCCGCGGTTAAAACAAGTTGTTGGTCTGAAAATTGCTAAAACATCTACACGAAGAAAGTTACATTTCTGGTATGATTTTGTAAAACACTATTATTCGACCCCAAAGTACTTCTACTCTGAACATTAACTTCCCATTTTAGACATGTAGTTCCCGGAAATCCTTCAGACCTTTGTAAATTCCATCTTTAGCTCATCCATAGCCATCGATTCTGCAGAAAACCAGTTACCCCTTGTGAATGATCCTTGGTACAAAAGTACAGCTAACCTGGAGTTTATCCTGTGTAGAGTAGCCATAAGCGTTTGTTCATTAAAACGATGAAGAAGCAAGGTTTTCTCAATGCTCGTAAAGCAACAGGTGAGCAAAACTTGTTTCAAAATTTGAATAAGAATTCTCCTATTCAAATTTTTATTGTTGGCTATTTTCCTTAATAACCCTTCTTGACCACATTTATAGCCTTAAATGCCATTGGTTCAGGCAATGTTCA